TACGTTACTCTAGCGCCTCGCTCATTACTGGGTGCGCTGGCTGCGCCGGAGGAAAATGGCCTTGTAACTCCCCCCACAAAACCGCTCGGCACCTAGCGAAAGTAGTTTTGAGTTTGCCTTACGGAGGACGGTTTCCTAATATACAGCTCATTCCAAATGGCCACTTCGACCGAGTATCCTTCCCTTGTAAGTAATATTTGGTGAAAGCACAGCGATCAAAAGCAAAAAATGGGAAAAATAAGATTTTGATTGGCTTCTAATTCCACAGTTTGGAGGTCTTTTAAAGCGAGATTTCTGAGATGGACAAAAAGGAGTAGTGCTTTGTCTTGAGTGCAAAAATGGATAGCTACTTCACCTTTGAAACAAAGTTAACCATGTTGGGATTTGACAATTTCATTTAGGTAGCCTAGTATCTTGAATCTTCAGAATTCGCTTACACTTTGTCTACAAGGGTTAATTGACATGCTAATTATGGATATGATACGAATATCATGTTATCACTATTATCAGATCACCCAACCACGACCCCCCCCCCCCTTTTGACTCCTCAATACGACCTCCCAGGTGTGGCGTGCCGCACCCCACGCTTGACCCTGGTACTGACCACTGGTTGTTGACACGTTTTGATGCGGAGAATACAGCAGATCTGCTGTAATCGCCGCGACAAAACTTGAGTAGTCCGGATTTTCCTGCTTTAGAATCACCTTTTTCGATCGTGAACATGTTGCGTTAGTCAGGAGCCACGTTATTATCGTACTGCATTGTGCACCAACCCAATCAACCTGGACGATGTTTTTAAAACTGAAGCGGCATGCGCACTCTAGCTTGCAGATTGAAATTAGCAAGTGGGCGAGGCTTTCTTAAGGTGTAAGTTTCCAAACTTCACAAGCGATTTCTCGCTTCTGATCAATGTTACTACCTCGCACTTCAGCGGAGACGTACCCGGAGGCGTCCAATTTCACCTGTGGCTGAAGTTTCGCATACTCACATCTTGACCGGACACTCCCTTCAACAATGTCTGGGCAAGGTTGAGGGTCGCAAGATTCCACGTGAAGCGGACGCCCGGACACACAATTGCACAACTGCAAAAACACATTATGTTAAGCCAGAAGTGAAATCCTCTACGAAGCTGGGAGAGTAAAGCTTTATGGGCAAAGCCTCGCCCACCTGTGGATTTTCTGTTCTATGACAGCTTACGAAATTCGCCGCCGAAATGGTTAAACGAGTACCGCCACTATTATGGTACTACGGCTCATAATGACTCCGCTTCTCAGCCTTGGCGGGAAGTGTTTCACTTGTCCGATTTCAAAATCATGTAGGGCTTTAACACATTCACGACAATACGATCACCGGTGGGTCGCACGTTTTATACCATTTCGGACGATACGACTCACCGGTGGATCGTAAGATTCCTGAAGCTCTAGCTTTGCCAATTTACGACGGAATTCTAGGGGGTTTTGGCACATGATTGCAGACCCATAGGTGAAGCTCCAGCTAGAGTGGTCGGGGCTCGGGATACTGTAATGCGATGTTACGGTAGGTATACCGTAGATAGATTTAAGGCACAGACTTTAGCTCAAATTCTTCACAGATTGATGCTGTCTCTGGAAAATCAAGTGTACATGCGCAATACGGGATCGGCGAGACTAACGTTACCCCACTAATTATCGATTTTATTGATTTTATTGACTTTTTGCATCCTAGGAAGCTCGAATTTTACATATAGAGCTTTTGTACAGTCGGTTTCATCCCGGATTAGGCGAGACATTCTATGTGGAGCAGCGCATGCGCATCGCTGGAGGTTTTGCGGGCGCATAGCGCTGGCATTTTGCCAAGCAAAGACTAAGGAGATTGAAGAGACGCAGGCGTGGGTTCTCAGCACGATAGGATATACTGTGGCTGCGAAACGGCGCGAGCTGTTGCGAGGCGGACTCCCGCCAATCCAATTTCCGCCTAAAGCGGGTCGAAACTTACTGTAGCATGCTGATTACGAAAATGATAGTCTCAAGTTTTAATTCCACCTTCTTACATCACTTTCTTGATTTTATACAAAGATTCTACCGTACTGCTACCGTAGCCTCACCGTGGGACAGTAGTGAACAAAGTGAACACTATAAACGTGATCAGCACGTGAAGTAACCCCCAAGCACGACTTTTCATGGAAATCCATGCTGTTGGTTCCATACAGGATGAATACCGTAACCTTACCGTATAACGCCGAAAACTGAAACAATTTGTTTTTTGATAATCAGCGCCTTCAATTACCCCCTCTGCAGAAATTCTCGAAGACATGTTTTGAACTTTCTCCAAAAGGACTACCATTTTGGACAATCGAGTCACGGGTGGGTCGTAAGTTTGACAAAGCGAAAAAGGCTCTGGTCCGAAACGACAGTGATTGAAAAATCGGCCTTGTCGTGAATGTGTTAAGAAAAGCCTGTTTCTTTCGAGCTTTCCAATGGTGATTTTCAAGCAACGATGAAGGTAAAATCAGGAAGTGCAAAAGCTAAAAGTTTAAGTCTAGGACACTGCCTTCCATGACTTATCTCGGCAAGGTGAAGGTTGCTGGTTTATAACCGTCAGCCCCAAACAAGCAGACAGTGAAGACCAGGGTGAAAAAGCGTTCATAAGTCCAAAGTTTGCTTCTGAAGTTTCCTGCTTCACTTCCGGGTCCCACCCATCAATTTTCCACCATTTCTAGAGTGCGCATATCGTACATATTGATCGTGGGGTTTCACATTGATTCTTCGTCTCGAGAATCGACATGCCTTGCCCATGGGCTTCGGAAAAAGCCTATCTTCATTATTTTCGCTCTCTACAAGCTGCGTTTCCAGAATCATCGATACGAAGAAGCCCAGATCAGCAAAAAATCTTCAGCTGACAGGAAAACGATACTAAGTGTCCGTGGCCGTTTGAGATGAGATGCATACCATTACACTCGTCCTGAAACACTGATTCCGAATCTGACTTCTTTCTGCTAATCGCTTCAAAGATGTTATAATGGATCGCGCGGATTCTGGCTGCCCAGTGAAATATGGTCGGAAATAGGTTTTTGTGCAGGTTCGAACCCTTTTGTGTTTTCTAGTTTTGCATTGCCTCAATTAACCTTCTTTCGCATCATCGAGCTAAGCGAACGTCCTTACTCTTTTAAAAAACGTGGAAATTTGGAAAAAATGATTACTATTTGCCCTAAATTGTATCCAATGATCATAGTTCAAGTAAATTTTCTCGACCAAGCTTAATTGAGGCAATGCAAAAGTAAAAACACAAAAGGATTTTAACCTACACCTACATCAACTTATGAGGCTATCGCACTAACCACCAAACCAAAAGGTGGCCGCGGTAGAGGCCGTTCCAATGATTATATTAGGTTGATTCATAATTAATGCACGTTTTCTATATTTCAACTTTCAACCGAGATAATTCTTGTTTGAAAAGACATTTCTGGGCGCAATAAAAACTACCATAACCACCAAATTAGTGGCTATAAAACAGGTACTTTTGCGTGACTATATCTATTACGAGAAAGATTTTCTGGCCTGAAGATTGCCAACAACTTTTTTCAGAAGCCTCTACTTTGAGAGAGCACAACTTATGTTGAAATGAAGTAGGATAAAGCAGACTTCGCTCGTCTGTAGCCAAGGGTCTCTTGAGCAGTAATGGCAAGTTCGGATTTTACGGAAAATTTGTGAAAGAAGATATCGTGGAAAAGTCGAAAGTACTCACTTTTTTCTGGCATCTCGGCGGGCTCAAAAATCGGCCATTTTTGAAATTATTTCATTTTTCTCCGCTGGAAAGTGAGAAAATCCTAGCGCTTTCCTACCATCAAATGAACTAGGTCTACCCTTGCTGGATAGAGCAAAAGGCCTGAAATGACCTTTTGATTCAAAGATTTATATGGCACGGAAGGGCCGCGACGATCATTCAAAATCGCAATTGAATTTCTCGGCTCAGAATCCATGGAATATTTTATTTAAATAGCATCTTGTAGCACAAAGTTTCATAATCCTTATGCATATTTTTTGAAATTAATTCAGCTATTCCTCATGAATTTAGGACAAAAAGAGTGAAAAGCAAAAATTTTGGGATTTTGTCTCTTTTATTTGAAGGCTTAGAACTTTGGAACGAAAGGAGATGTACGAAAGCGAAGGCCCGCATAAGAAACTAGAAAAAACGCTCTTTTACATAGCTCAAAAGGTTTTTGAGGAAATTGGTTACACATCAAATACCAGCTCTTGGAAGAAGAGGTAGGAAAAACGTGCATTAATTATGAATCAACCTAATATTTTCCTTGAGCAGCCAAACTTGGCTCAAAATTTCCCCATAACTTCTTTCAGAGAAACGATTAGCTGAAACGGAAGGCAGATTCGGAATCAGCGTTCGAAGGCGAGTGTAATGGTATGAATCATGTCTCGAAAGGCCACGGACATTGAGTATCGTTCCCTTGTGAGTATTTTTCCCGGTAATTTTGCCACCTTTTAGCGCCCATGTATGAGAAGGGGAGTCCGTCCCCAATTCCAAGTTTTAATAATAAGCCAAATGTCGGATTGCAACGTTCGAAAACGACTAAACGAGCTAACGACTCTGCCGACTCGTCTCAGCCTTTGCGAGGACGATTCCACTCGTCCAATTTCAGATTGTAACGCTTTGGGAACCCTTTTTTTCGCCGTTCTTGCGCTCTCTAACGTAGACTTTCGGATTCAGCGTAGCGGATAACCGCAGGTATGCGAATCTGCTAGAAATCGAATTTTGGCCAGGCACTGCCTCGAGGCGATGCGTTTCAAACTTCCATGAATGCGGGTTAGCTTTTTCGCCCGCTCGGGCGCTCGTTAATTACGGTGGGACAGCGAACGAAAGATTGACAAATACCGCCCCGGACCTCATTTGCGCTTGTTCCTGTCAGTACCTCTTGCGCCGCGGTCCTCATGCATCGGTTATTGTCGCGATTTTTATATGCAATACTATAAAATCGAAAAATACGAGGGATTCTTTTGAAAACTCACGTGGTTCTTGACTTGAACATGCCGAATTAGGAGTCTTCGGAGAGCTAGGAGTGACAGGACTTTGAGGCTTCTTCAATCCTCCAACAACTTTGCGAAAGAGATCGAATTCACTTGCGGATTTGGTGGCCATTCCTTAGATTGAGATTGGTAAGGGATACGCTAAGAACTGTGTCTCGTTAACAAATCATCAATCAGGGTTCATTGAAAATTATTAACAGTAATTGCTAGATGTATGACGAAAACGGAGAAATAGCAGGTAGGAGGTGAGGAAGTAAAATAGATGGTGTACAATGAAGTTTTCGCAATGAGCAACTTATGCTGAACCTGGCAAGGAGGTGAGATATACGGGACTGGACATGCAATGTTTTAATCATGAATGAAGTGATATAGAGATGCGCCTCGGAACAGGTTGCCAAGTCAACGCGTTCTGGATAGCAAGAACCCAAGTTTTATGTATATCAGTTGATTAATTTAGTGTTTCGTAGATAGCACGGACTTCACCTGATGACGAATCATTAAGCTGTGCAATTAAAACTGTACATTTCGTTTTTTCGGGAAGGCGGGACCGCAGAAGAAGAACAGTACTCACGCTTTTTATTGCGACCTATATACTATTAGGTTGTCCCGAAAGTTTTGTCTGTTTCTTTTAATGCTTACGGAAACTAGCAGAGCAGCATCCATGAACGACTTAGGTACCATTTGATTCAGATTTTTATCCTCTTTCTTACAGATGTATTTGCTCTGTGATCTACGCTGTCTTTGCGATGTTATCGCCATGGCTTTTTGAGCAGCTCAGTAGTACGCCAAATCTTTACTGAATTTTAACATTTTTTATTCTAAGGTTTTTCAAAGAGCGCTAGTGACTGTTAAGTAGAGCAATCCTTTGGCTATATTGTATCCATTTTAGATTACATAAGCCACGTACCAAGTCTGTTATAATTATTTATTTAATCAAACCGCGGCTTTTTGATTAGGTTTACCGCGTAAAAGTGTCGAAAATCCCAAAAAACTGCTTTTCCCAAGCAAATTAGACTTAGGTCCGTATGCACGTACATCCCCGCTGGGGAGGGGAGGGGATCTGAGAGGGGATGCGTCATATCTCGCTACTTTACGTATCTTTCTTTTTCCTTTTCTGTCTTGCTTATAAAGGTTCTCATACCCTACTACCTGCGCATAATCGATGCCAGGTTACAGGCATAACTGATTAAATTTGTACTATTTTGTGTGATCCCCTGGGGATCCCCAGGGGATCACACAAGTACAAATCTAATCAGTTATGCCAGTAACCGGGCATCAATTATGCGCAGGTAGTAGGGTATGAGAACCTTCATAAGCAAGATAGAAAAGGAAGAAGAAAGATACGTAAAGTAACAAGATATGGCGCATCCCCTCTCAGATCCCCTCCCCTCCCCAGCGGGGATATACGTGCATACGGGCCTTAGTTATGTTACATCAATGATGTTTGATAAGAATCATATTTCAATTCGCAGAAACTTCAAAAGCTCTCGTGTATTTGCTGCAGTAACGTGTTTCATGATTTTGCCAAAAACTGAAACCTTTGAAGAAATAATTTTTAAAAATAAAAACAGCAGATCAGGAGATTCTAAAAATATTGCCTTGTAGTGCGAGAGTTGCTCTATTTGATTCATACTCAAATCTATCCGGAACTTTTGAATGGAACTTTTAAAAATTAGCCTAACTCAGAGGAGATGAAATGGACGGGTGAAGAAGTTTGGCAATTCTCAAAAAGAGCATACAAGATTTTGATTCGAAAATGTGTCCATAAGAAAGTGAAGGAAAATATGCATCGAATGCATGTTAAATTTTACTCAGGTCTTTATTGTGCGTGCTTTTATAGTAATTTGGAAAAACGGGCAAAACTTTCAGGACAACCTAATATATAGAACGGCACATCTATAGCTGGTGCAGATAATAAACGGTCTTGGTTAAGAGTCTTCATATTTTCTCAATAAATTTTTGAGCTTCCAAAGCAGACCTCTGCCACATAATTTCAAAAAAAAATCGAAACTTGTATTCGGAGGAAACGAGAAAGTTGTGTACTTCCATTTGGATAGAATGAGGAATGAAACGGAAATTAGATACCATCCAGTTTTCTTTTTCTTTTTTAGATGGCCTGAATTTACTAGACGATATTGAATTTTCACTGTGCAGCAAGTTTTTTCGTCAAACTGAGTATTTTCGTTTTTTGCTTATTTCTGGAGGTTCATTCCTAGAGACAGTGTTAGCTATGAACATTCAAAACTCCACAGCCGGAGTTCCACAAAAGTTAATAAAATCAATAGGGCGCATAGCCACATCTATTCGAATTCTTCTATATAGCTGACAGCTCTGTGTACAATTTCTGGGTTTTATTAAGAAACGGCAAACAGTGATCTCCCAAACGATGCTTATTTCTATATAATCTGTGTTGCTGTCTCCCCCCCCCCCCCCCCCCCGCTTCTCGCCTGTTCCAGCTGTCATTTCTATTAACTGAAAGTTTGCAAGAGCTGATGAGATCGATGCGATCAATAATTTATTTTCATGGTCAGAATGTTTACCTACTCTTCCCACCTTTCCATCACTTCTACGTCCATAACCACACATTACCAAGCCGCAGTTGTCTAACCCGGAGCTCGTCATAAAGAGTCAATATATGAACCGATAACGAAAGTTAGTTTAGCAGTCGCCCCGCCCCGAAGGGTATGTGTACAGACCCGCCCTGATCGTTCAGAAATGAATTCTGCATTTGAGACATGTATACACAGACATGCATTGAACTCAATATAAGAAAGAAGAGCCAAGTCTTACCTGAAAGATTTTTATCCTTCTCACCAATTAAGATTTCTCGAGCTTTGCTATTGAAGCCGCGATGAGGAGCGATAGGTGAATGCTGGGCAATCTGTGTGATAGCAGCGTTCTCTGGAACACAATTAAAAAGAGATTACAGATTGTTTTGGGCAATTTCATATGTCACAAACCGTCTCTCGTTCACTTGCATTTTCGACAGAGTTTGAAAAGTCATGATTTACCTGGGTGATAATCAGGATCGCCAATCAGCACTTCGCGCGCTTTGCTCTTGAACCCGCGATGAGGAGCGATTGATGAAATACTAGCAAAGTCGCCCATAGTTTGATCTGGACAAGAACCAAATATGAAAAGTAATTGAAGATTGGCAGACACGTAAAGGCGCTTCCGTAAGCATTACGTCATTCTCATCTGATGCCTAGAAACCCCATCAAATCACAACAAAGCCATTTGCTCTAATTTGAATCAAAGCAGTCATAGCATGACCAATAACACTTTCCTTTTACGCTGCTAACGAAGCTTTTTGCGAGAAGCGAAGAATAAAAACTTTGCATTTCAGACGTTGTCGATTATCCGTTAATGAATGAATAGTGTCTGCTCGATGTTCTGTTAGGGGGTGTGGGGCTAATGAGGTAAGGAAACTTCAAATGATCATTTCTGCGTCAATGCGCGTAATTAGTCTGCTTGTTCAGTATCTTTCGCTCTTCTATAATGTGTTGTACTTCCCCTTCGTAGGTAGAGGACTGATGATGACATTGTGAGAACCCGCTTATTTTCAAACACTTGCTAAAGAAACTTATCTGAATCAAATTCGCGAATAATAGGGAATCTAGTAAAGACATACACTAGACGTAGCTTTTGATATACCATTTCGAGAAGGACTCGGCATTATTTGGAACCGAGGAGTTTTTGAAACGAAGTTCCCCTTTGAATCCCAAAAAATTTAACCAAGTTCCGTTTGACATTTTTAGAACTCCTCACTTCTTTACATTTGCCCTTTATTTGTTATGACACTGCCAATAAAGGAAGAATAAAGGACAAGAGACCGAAAACAAAAAGCAAACAAACCTTCACCATCTCTTCCCTCATCCTCTACCCCTCTCCCTATGTCTCCCTACCCCTCCACCTCCCCCCTCCCTGAACGACTTGATGGAACAACGAAAGAAGAGAAAGAAAGGACAAAGGTAAACATAATGGACAGCGAGTGCTCTGCGAAAATGGATGAGTCGCGCATCGGTTTGCTTCCGGAGCAGATTACGCGCCAATGGAAATATTTTGAGTACTGCAATACAGCTTGGAGAAAGGATCATGAAACCGTTTTCCTTGTATATGAAAACTCGAGGTGAAGATACAAATCATGTGAAAAAAAGTATGAAAAGTTATGTTAGCAAAAGGTCGATTCCAGCTCTTTTGGCACCCTGCTGAGACCCTTCCAGCTGATTTGGAAATATTACGCACAGTTTTCGTTCACACAAGTTTTCATAAATTTTTGAGCCATAGTTGGAATTCCCCCAGGCGCAATTGCACATCAAATCTGGTGTCATATCACTGCGTTTTGATTGTATACAAGAGTATTATTTGTTTCTCCCGCGCTGGATTGCTGCCGGTAGGCCGCATGCATAAGCGACGGACATTATGCCCCAATCCTAATCAGGCCAAAATTGGCATGGCGGGAGTCCGCGTCGCTAGGGTTTCGCAGTCACGCCCGCGGCCTGCTTTTCTGCTCTCTATTCAACCCTTTTGCTCTCTCCTATGGCGCGCATATGCAGCGCAGACACTGGCGCTGCGAGCGTGCAAATTTACGCCGACGGTTCGGCCTGATCCCGTTTGGAGCAGACTGTAGCATGCCAGAACCTCCCCCTTGCTTTTCCCGCTCGAAAATGATGTCCAGCTTGACAGGGTTCCAGCTGCGCCGAGCCCTGATTTCAGCGCTTCAACACGGTCCAGGAGATGTGAGATGTACATTGATACAGGCATTTATTCTATTACGTAAATCCTTTCGGATGCCTGCGATCATTTCCATCCTCTAACGGTAAACAGACAGACTTGCTTGATCTGAAAGTTTTTGCATGAAAATCTTTGCTTCCTAGGAGCGCTTGCACCAAAAGTTTGGCAACAAACGATCGTCTATTAGCTGATCAAGAAAAACATTCAAATCGCAATTTTAAAGTAGTCCAAAATCCAAAACAGCCAGTAACCTAGGTAACCTGATCTCCTCTTTTTGAATAAGCAAGTTTCCCGTTGGCTCTTTTTAGAAAAGTTATGACTGAAAAAAATGCCAAAAAATCAGTTCCTTGAGAAAATTGGTTTTTCGATAATTTTTCCCAAAAATTTTAACTTTCCAAAGAACAACTCGGTCAACGCGAATTTTGCTCAGCTGGCAAAAGGGGGTGAAAAAGTCTAGGGTACTGACTGTTTTGGATTCTATGGCATAGTTTTGGGTTTGGTAACGTGCTTGCCTCAGCATTCCGAATTAAAAAAGATTCCCTTTTCCCAAATTTATCTCTGCATTCAGAGCTTAGTAGATAGCAGCCAAGGTGCTCCTGAAAGTGCATTAATTGTTCTTTTCAATAAGGTTTTGGTCATGCAGAAATATTCTGTTAGGAAGAAGTTGTATACTTAGCATAATCTAGAGTATCTACATCGTTGAAGCAAAAACCTGGATATTTTGCTTTTGCTTATGCAAAGAGCAATTTTTTTAAGAACTAAAAAATTCATGGATCCCAAGCAAAACAAATGAGAACAGCTAATATATGTAACGGCATTGAAGCAGAAGCATTAGGCACGCAGCTCGATGAAGGGAAAAGACGTGTGGAAGCATCCATCCAGGGATTATCCGTTGAGAATGCTAATTGGAGTCTGATCTAACAATATGGAGTCCATTATCGCAGGTCAAAATAAGCTTTGTTGTTAGTGTATGAAAACAGAAAATTTTGCTAAGATGGTGAGCACAATCCTCATTTCTTTGTAATTAATATAAGTTCTCATTTATCATACAACAAGACCAGTTTTGGATAAAAACTGGTCTTGTTGTATGATAAATGAGAACTTTTCTAATTCAGGGAGGATTAAAGTGTGCCATTTTCTGTCAAAGCTGAACATTGTAAATTAGTAGCAATGTTTGACTTGGCAACTTCTTAGGTCAATAGTAATGAATCAATATAACGAAATGGCCTTCTTTTGCAATTCTTAGCACTTTCAGATAATTGCTGGAAGTCAACTACAAATGGTCAGAAAGGAGACTTGCTGCTTGTGCGAATAGAAGTGTAATATCTAGAAGTGTTCAAATGTCAAAATGACGCCCCATTCTGTCATATCATTAGCCACATGAACTTATTAATTATGTCTTTTGCACTAACTAATGGACTCAGCATCAGAAAGACTGCATTTTGTTAAAGTTTTCTTTGACTTTGATTAGTGCAAACAGCGAAGGCTCGGAGAGCGTGCAGGAGTTCCTAGCACCTTTCCTCGCACCAAGTTCGCAACAGCATTTGCACCCTGAAGAGATCTAGCATCTCCGAGCTTCAGAGGTCAGGTCACGCCCATTGCTCCCCCCCCCCCCCCCCCCATTTACTGGTCTCATTGTGAAGTGTGCAACCAGCGAGAGCATAGACTTAGTATTGAGGTAATAAGAGAGAAAAATGGAGAAAAGACGAGGAACATAGATATCATTTCTCAAGTGAGGAGGCCTGGAAACTTCTGCTACGCTATCCTTTCAAAAATGAGCACTGAACATTATTCTCTGAAAAGATAAATAGCACAGAATTTTTTGTATAAAAAACTCGGTCATTCGAAATATCAGAGAATCCAGTTGATCAATGTAAATTCCTGGTCATCTGATTGAAGTGATTTAGGATTAGAAGTTGAATAACTGAGTGACCAGAAGTGGTTCAGAACCCTACACCTTCTCAACATTAAAATTACTTTGAAAAAAGTATATCAAAGTTTTTGAATAAACAACTTAACGCTTTTTCAAGTAGTTATGATATTTGAACATATATACTTTCATGCTTTCGTTGCCATTATATATGTATTTTATATATGTATTTCAATCAGTCTTTCATTCAAACTCTAATAATCATTATCTTAATTGTCAAAACCAATTTTTGCATGTAGTATTTCCTACAATCGATGTACTATATAATACCGAGCTTCGGTCGCATGTCTGATTAAAGAGTTGGCTAAGAGTATCAAATACGACACTTAATTTGCAAGCTATTTTGATTTGCTATAATTCTTAAACTTCAGAACTTGCGTGTAATTGACTAACTTCTTTGTTATGTACTGTGATTGGAAGACTCATAACTTCTGCTGAAGCGTCATTTTATCCGAAAACGCGAGTAAAACGTAACTCAAAATACTGGAAATTCACCTGCAGTCATTAAATTCTTTAAAAAGTTTTTCGCTCGATTTAGTGCTATTATCTTCGAAAACAGTACGCTTTCTAGAGTGCGTGTACACAATCCATAATGAGGGCATCTAGAGGGAGGAGTGATGGGCGGAGCCGCCATTTGGCCCCGATAAGGTATGATGTCCTCTAAGGGAATTCTGGAGGTACCAAGACCTCTGCGAGGAAAAGCGGCTAGGCTTTGGGAACTCCTGCTACGCCGCTCGAAGGCTCAACTATTGCTAGAATGTCATCTTGGTAACTGCCAATGAGGGTGCTTTCATTGACCCTGCCAAGTCCCCGGCCTCTTATGCAAACAGGTATAGTCGAGTACATCTGTGATAAATACACCGCCCTTGCGGGTCGAAATTTTGCGGTAAAATTTGCGCGTGAATAAATAGGTACGCCTAAAATGCGCAGCAGGTAGCCGGCATTACAGGCGTAGCCATTTGTTTACGGGAAAACCGCATTTTCTTGGCACCGCGAGCACACTACATATCAGAAAATTTACTCTTTTATGTATTTTAGTAAAAGCCAGCCTTAGGATCCGACAAGTGAGTTATGGACAACCAGCGTTCGTCACATTTTTTGTGATACATCCTGAATGAATTCACTTAACAATCTTTAAAGTCTCAAACATTTGGTCCGACGTGTCGCTAGCCCGAAAATGCTGTAATTTATGAAATGACTTCTTCTCGCGAGATTGCCATGGGATTACCATGACAATAGCGTATGATGGCACAATCGAAAACAAATTTTTGTCATAATCAGCACCTTCAACTATCCATCATCGCTCAAATACATACTCCTTGTTTCTCTGAGAAACACTATGTACCATTCTAGGCAAATGACAGATATGAAACGAAATATCAGAAAGGGTCTATGCTGTGTTGCAAAGCTGCGTGTGGACAAGAGCTGTCTTTTTCGTATTACCGCCTTATTC